TGCCCATACCATGCACCTTCTGCATTAACAAGGTCAAGGCCACAGGTGATAGCAGCAGAGACCAATGATCAACTTCATTTACCCGATAGCCTCCAAATGAGATTGTGGGGAATGGAGACATCTCCCAGGAGATTTTAAGGTTTGACCTGCGTTTTATAGAATGAATAGGAATCTTCGAGACAGAGGTGACAGGAGTGTGAATATGCTGAGGATATAACAGGATATGTTTGGGAATTATGATTGTCCCACGTGTCTCGAAGAGATGGCAGGTGAGTGTGATGAAGGAGCTGAAACTAAATGAAAACAAAAGCCAAATTATGTATTCACAGAAACTAAAATTAGGAGTCTGAACTTTTTCTGCACGTTTTGGAAAGTAATGTTAGGATAATAATCAGGAAAGTAAAGTAATCAGTTTTTGTTAGTGAGGTAACATTAATAAAGGAAGATTTCTTTATTGATTAATTCTATTTTCAAATTCCAGGATATGCTTTAAAGCTTCTTCCATAGTATCTCATTTATTCTCTTAATAATCTTTGGAAAAAGTGTTATTAGGCTCATTCTAAAGTTAAGGAAATGTAAGTTTGCAGAATTTTCACATAGGGATGTGGCTGTTATGTTATCAGAATTCTTAGGCCTCCATCTCAAAATCCTGAAATTCTTTAATTCAGTCTTATAGTCTTTTTAGATCCATTAGTTCTGATTGTAATTTTCTCTTTTTTTTGTTTTCATTTTTATTCCTGCTTTATAGCATCCATTGTAATTATGAGTTCCATCACCATGGTTGTGACTACTACCTTGAACTCCTTCTCAGGCATCATCAACAGCTCTGCTGGATTGAGATTCTCATGATTTTTTTTTTGTCCAGTATTTGTGATATATTTTGTTCCTTCATTTTTAGTTTTAATGGATTAGCTGCAATTTACTTACAAATATATGGAATAGATAAACCCGAGGCCTTCGTTCTGCTGCAGTCTTACTGATCTTGAGGAGGGGATCACTGTGGGTCCCCACCACACACTTCTGGGACCCACCACATAGAAGGAAGCTTGAATCCCTAATGATCAGTGGAGGTGACCCTCAGTGCCCGAATCCTGGGTTCCTCTCTACCTAATAACCTTTGCCAGGACCAGGTCTCCAGTTCCAACAGATTTGGAGATTGCAAACTCTTAACTCCTTGTGGGGTAAATCAATTCATCGGGCTTTTTCATGCCCTCTGGCTAGTAGCCTCTATGACCAGTACCTGAGGTACCTCCTCCCATGACCACAGATACCTGGGACCAGGGAGTGTGGGAGTGCGCATGCGTTAGTGTGCAGCCCTGGGCCTCAAAAGGAGTGGCTAAAGGGCAGCATCCCGCTGGGGAGAGCAGCTGTTCAAGTTGCTGTCTTCTTGCTGGCTGTTTTCCCTTGTTCACTAAGAACCTGCGAAGATGATGTCAAGGGCTCCAAAATTCTCTTTTAAGCTGCTGGAGCCAAGGGTGAACCTAGCTGGACTGGGGTGGCTCATAACACTCCTGAAATTATGAATCATCATAACTGAAGGTGGAGTGTGGCACAGTAGAGGCAGGGAAATGAGAAGTGTAACATTTCACTAAACCTGGAGTGAAATGAGAGTCTGAACTAAAACAATGGCAGTGGAGGTGGTGATGGGGGAAGATGAGCTTGAGGACACTGAAGGAAATAGAGTGGTGACTTAACTAAATGTTAGTGGATATTAGGTTACTGGAAGAGCAAGTAAACATTCAAATGTCTCTGAGGTTGATGATCATGGGTGGAAGATAAGGCTGTTCACAGATATACAGAAATATCAGGATTGGAAGGGGCTAGAAGACAGCTGTTAGCACCTAAACCTGCATATTAACCCTGATCTATAAATAGACTCAATAGCTCAGACAGCTTAAGATAGTCATGGAAACATACTCTGGTAGATTTAAGGGAAGATCCTGCAAGAAGGAGTTGAAAGGGCACAGAAGGAGACATAGGAATAATACTGGGTGTGACCCCAGATAGAGAGGAGGAGGGATTCCAGTTTGAGATATTCTGCAGTGGAGAATACAAGAACAATCGAGAGAATAGGAATATACCAATTTGTTTCATGACATCTGGGTCTACGTAGCCAAAGAAATCTACTAGATTTAAGGAAGCTGAATCCCTCAGGCAGATGGAGTAGATGGCAATAGAGATTGAAGCAGCCAAGAGTAACAAAGGGGGCGGGGCGGGGGGCTATGGCAAGAGGGGGCCCTTGGGAAGGATCACGGGTGAGGGGTGTAGGGTAAGGAAAATGAATCAGGCTTTTCTGCCCTCCCGCCATCAGGATAGATGATGGATCCTTGCGGTCCTGAATGCATGCCTGATGGCGGGCACCTGGAGTAGGGTGTGGGCATAGGTAGATGGGATTCACCTGGGCTAAGACGGGGTTTTTAAGGGCGGCGTCATGGGGACCCCAGCAGAAGCCAAGAACAAACAGAAGCCGAGAGAAGAAGAGAGAATACGAGAGAAGGCCGGAGAGCCCAGATAGAGTGAAGACTTGCTGGCGGCTGGGAGGCCTGCCAGCCTCCTGGCCCCCCAGCACCCCTGCCTGCTATGTACCAGGTAAATCCCAATAAAAGCCTGCAAAAGCCACTGAGGACTCTTATTCCTCCTTTACCCAGTCTGCTGGATCAGAAAACCTGCACTGTGGCCTGTCCTGACTCTACAGGGGGCTTGTGGAGGTTATTTGGGAGGAGATGGACTCCAAGGAAACGGTGAAAGATTTAGAAAGTTCAGAAACAGATTGACTTGTTTCAAGTTGGTGTGTGAGGCAGGAGAGAGATGCTACTTATAAATATTCTTTAGCTTTATTTAGTCATGCACCTGTACAAATACTATTAACTTGCTGAGTCTAAATTAGTCTAAAATAGTTGCTTTGTAAATTTCCATCTTTACCTCTCTTTTTCTCTACCTTTGAAACCACAGGAGCTTGGAGAATATAAATTTCGATTTTTAACTTGACACCAGTGCATTTTTTCCTAGTAAGTGTTAACACTGTGGCTAGAGGAAGACTTTGAGCTGTTGGGCATGTCTGTTTGACAGACTGCTGTATTTAGAGGTGTCAACAATGTCAAACTTTCTATCTCCCCAAATCTTGATCCTTACCCTTGGGAACAGACTGCATCCTCAATTCCAATTTAGTTCCCCTTGACCACAAGATTAAACAGTGTCATATTTCAGGTGTTTCAATACAAAAATCAGAAAGCTTCCTTAACGAGAGTAAGGGGCACAGGCATTTATAATCATATAGAGATCATGGCAAACATTTTCTTCATCTTTCTGTGCAAAAGTAAAGATTTCAAGTAAATTAAATTTTGTTGACTTCAGCAGCATGATTGCAGGGGGGGTGAGAGGGTGTTGGATGTTGTGGGGAGTACAGTGGGTGGGGAGAAGCTTCCTCAGATGGAGTTAGCTTATCTCAGAAACTGAGGAGATTGGTAATGTTGAATTCCTGTGGGCTCCACCTTTGGGTACTTGCATATAGGCTGCAACTTTTCCCAAGGACGAGTGAGACAGTCTGCAATTCTTCACATCTAAGTGCCAGTAACTTTACCCTGAGGCCTGGAACCAAAGGCATTTACTTATTCTGCCAGGGGATTCTACAGGCCTTCTCTGGAACCCGTGGTTGTTTCAGTGAGAGCTTAACCCCAGGTATCCTTGAAAGTTCAGGGACTCAAGAAAGTCTCCAAGCTGGCTGCTGTGGCTACTCAGTGCTAGTCAAAAAGCTGCCACGACTGAGCTGACACCTCCAGGATCATCACTGATGGGATCCTAGCTCAATTTGGCAAAAGTTTGACCAGCTGCAGTGAGTTGTTTGTTACATGAGAGTTGAGTCTGGCCTGTCCTGCTCTCCCAACAAATCCTGGGTAGCAAATACTGGCACCACAGTGACTGATTACTAAGAAAATACAACAGAAATTTATATTATTTTATCTATAAATTACTTTTCCACATGTGACCCTATTTGATGCTCATAACAACTTCAAGCAGAAGGCACTCATCATTGCTAATTTAGAGAAGACAACTTGGGATGCCTAAGTGCTGGACTTGAAGTCACAGCCAGCACTTGGGTGAGGAGAAGGTGGGGCTTGTTTCTTGTCCTGCATGACCTTGCTCTGTCTGCCCTTACTCCTTCCTTGGTGTCAGGAATCTCTGACAGTAAAGTCAGGAGGTTCCTAGGTTAGCAGTTCCAGGGCAAAGACAGTTTAGAAGTGGCTGGATAGTGGGATAAGCATTGATCGGCCTTGTGGTCTAATGTAATAATAGCACTGTAGGGTGAATGAGTTCATCAGGCTTTATGTAGCACTAGCCTTGATCATGTTGATGCAGAAGGCATCTGGGAGCATGAACAAGGGGGCACGGCTCCTGATTGTGCACACCTGAGCCTAGAGGTGGGGCTGAAAGCTGGGGGCAAGTAGTCTGAGTACAGAAAAGGCGAGACCACGAGACAACGTGAGTAGAGAGAACGCCAGAGAGAGCCCAGAGAATGAATATTAAGATTTGTGAGGGGGCTGGGAGGTTCAGTTGCCTGCCTGCCCCCCAGTGCCCCCTGCTAGGCCTGTGCCTGTGTAGGGTAAGGAAAAATGTCAGGCTTTTCTGCCCTCCCACCATCAGGATAAATGATGGATCCTTGCGGTCCTGAATGCATGCCTGATGGCGGGCACCTGGAATAGGGTGTGGGCAGAGGTAGATGGGATTCACCTGGGCTGAGACTGGGCTTTTAAGGGCGGAGTCACGTGGACACCAGCAAACGCAGAAAGAGAAGCCGAGAGAGAAGCAAAGAAGCAGAAGCAGAGATCACCGGAGAGCCCAGATAGAGTGAGGACTTGCTGGGGGCTGGGAGGCCTGCCAGCCTCCCGGTCCCCCAGCACCCTTGCCTGCTGTGTACTGGGTAAATCCCAATAAAAGACCTGCAAAAAACCACTGAGGACTCTGACTCCTCCCTTACCCAGTCTGCATGGGATCCTAGAAAACCTGCACATTGGTCTTCCTGCCCCTTGCAGTCTGCCTCCTCACATGCCAGCCTCCCTACCTGCTGCGCCTGTGGACCTGGTTCCCTGAGAGAGAATTAAAGTCTAAAAAATTCAGAGGGCTCCGGGACTCTCCTTTATCCATCTGCCAGAAGGATTGTGATCCTGCCCTGTGCCTGCTGGCACTACAACCCAAAAGGTACAAACTTCCCTTTTATTTATAAAACAATAATCCCTTGGAAATGATGCATAGCCTGGTAAATACAGTTAATAATACTGTAGTGTATACTTTAGAGAAGCTAAGAGAGTAAATCTTAAAAGTTGTCATCAGGAAAAAAATTGCATAAATATACATGGTGACAGATGTTAATTAGACTTGTGATCATTGTGCAAGAGATAACACTTATCAAATCATTAAGATGTACACCTGAAACTAACAATGTTTGTCAATTACATCTCAATGAAAAAAGAAAATGCCCGATGGGATACCATCTCACACCCTCTAGGATGGCTGCCATCAAAAAAACCCAGAAAATAGGGCCTCCCCTGTGGCGCAGTGGTTGAGCGCTGGGTTGAGAAGCTGCCCACGGCCTCTGTGGCGCCGGTTCGATCCCCAGCTGCTCCCCGGCCACCGGAGGAGGGTCCCGCAAGGCGCGCAGATCTCTCCTGCCGCCCACTGCTCCCCTCAGCAGTGTACTTCGGTCCTTCTGCCTGCTCTGCTCCCCGCTCTGGCTCTGGTGAATTCTCTCACTCTCCCGCGCTTCTGACTGTACCCAGTGCTTGTATAAATAAATAGGTAAATCTTAAAAAACAAACAAAAAAACCAGAAAATAACAAGTGCTGATGAGGATGTGGAGAAAATAAAATCTGTTCACTATGGGAGTGCAGAATGATCCGGTCACTGTGGGGAGCAGTGTGGTGTTTCCTCAAAAAATTAAAAATAGTTGTCATACGATACAGAAATTCCTCTTCTGGGTATATATCCAAATTAATTGAGTCTCAGAGATATTTGCAAACCTGTGCCCATAGCGGCTTTATTCACAGTAGCCAAAAGGTAGAAGCTACCAAAGTAAATAGCCATGGATATATGGATGGATGAACAAAACATGGTATTTACATAGAATGGAATATTCTTTAACTTAGAAAAAGCAAGGAAATCTGACACATGCTACAACATGGACAAATTTTGGGAATATTATATGAAGTGATCAAAATGAGTCATAAAAAGACAGTGTATGGGGCCTCCTCTGGTGGCGCAGTGGTTGAGCTCTGGGCTGTGAGGCTGCCCGCAGTCTCTGCAGCCCCGGTTCGATCCCTGGCCGCTGGGAGGGTCCCACAAAAAAAAAAAAAAAGTGCATGGTCCCACTCCTATGAGGTATCTTCAAGTCAAATTCATAGAAGCAGAAAGCAGAATAACCGTTAACAGGGGCTGTGGAGAAAAGTGTGGGGAGTGGTTTAATGACTGCAGAGTTTCAGTCTTGAAAGATGAAAGATTTCTGGAGGTGGGTTGCTCTTAAAATGCTGCTGAGCAGGATATTTAAAAATGGTTAATGAGGTAAATGGTATGTTTTGTGTATTTTATTGCAATTGGTGAAAAAGGGTTTCGTGGGAGTAACACATGCTGCGAGGACAGGGAAAGAAGAAGACTGGGCAGGGACTCTCAGACTGGCTCGCAGAGGCCTAACGCCCCAACAGCGGCTCAGGCGCAGATTGCCAACTGGAGGGGTAGAGGGGGCTGCAGAGGCCTTTATCTTCCTAGACCTTGGGTTACATGACTTTGGCTACCATGGCCTTGCCTGATCATTGTTTGGGGGTTACCCTGAGATCAGCAGGAAGTCAGCTTTAAAGGGGTGGGGGGATCCTAAAAGCCCTAACAGAGGCTGTTAGCCAGGCACCCTCCTCTGAGAGCCAGGCAGCAATTCCTTCTTTGACACCGAATCTAAGCGACTCATCCCCATGTCTGCAATGTGGGAATAAGAGGAATGAATTTTATTTTCTTTTAGTTTGCATTTCAGTGTATCCCACATTTCTAACAATGAATAAGATGCTTTTTAATTAACAAAGAAATATGTTATATGGCAACCAGTATCCTTAACTACTGAGCAATTAGTTTGTTATTAAATATCTGTTTTAGCTCCATGCATGTTTACTGCATAAACACATCCTGTCATAATAAATCAAGGGGTTATTAGCTGCCTCATGGAGCCAAAAAAAGAAAAAAAAGATTGTTCTACCATGTCAGTTGATGCTTGTCTGTCTGACATGGGTATATGAAATGGATGTTAACTTAAAGTACTGTCTACTTCAGTTTAATCCTGCATCTCTACCACAGTATAAAAGGTATTCAAATGGATTACTGCAGCGATACTAACCCATAGAAAGCAGCATTTCACCTCTGTTGAAACAGTGGACTTCTGGTGACAGGTTTAAGGCAGAGATGGAGACTTCCTTTTGGGCAAAGTAGAAACAGATAGTCAGCCCGGGATTATCACCCAGTCACATTGGTGAAAAAACTTGTCAGATCCTCACATGAAAGGGAGCTTCTAAGAATAAGATGCAAGCACAGTCATCAGAATGGTGGCTCTTTAAACTTTAAATTATTTATGGCGGATGTACCTGCATCCTGGGAAGGCTGTGTCAAGAGGTCTTCATTCACAAAAGAATAAAAATTTCCTAATTTCAATGAGGGGAAGAGGAGCATGAAAATTATACAGAGAATTATAGACCCAAAAGCTGAGAGAAAGCAGGCCTATGAGCTTTTTACATCTGCCAGGGATAACTGCATTGAAGTATTGGGATTTCACCCATGCAAAATTACTTGAATAAAAAATTACTTTCTCCTACAAACACACAAAATAGACGATCGATAAACTGCCAGAAGATAGAAAACACTGAGTAATCACATGTATCCAGCCGAAGTGGTTGCTGCTGTATCCTTCTGAGACCAGGGCCCTGTCTAATTAAGCAACTACAGTGATTTATGGACTTTAACATTTACTTTAAGAGTGGAATTTGAGGGGCAAATCTGTCTTGCTAGACTTTACCTGTTCAAATAGGAATAAGTCACTACTGGTGAAACTCAATAAAATTTCCAGTTAACGACTCACCTGGGTTTCCATAAGGCTAAACTCATCACAAATCTTAAAACCTGACAAGATTTTCCAGTTCCCTTAACTTGGGGGAGGGCTAGGAGGGTTATTATGTTGGTTCTGATCTTGTTTTTGTATTGTGTGCGTTCAAGAAATGTTTTTCATGTGGGTCACATGCCACTAGGTACTGTTCTGAGTGCTCAGGAGAAAGCTGTGAATGAAAGTAAAGTAAAATTTCCATCCTTAGGGAGATAGTTACTGGGGGGGAGAAAAACAATAAATAAAATATATAAATAAAAAAGTTGGTGCTAGAAGACAAGTGACATGACATAAGCAGGAAAGCTGTGCAGGAAAAGAGGATGAGGAGTAGTGCAATTTTAAAATGGCAGAAAGAACCCCAAACCATCGCCCCTCCAACCAAATATAACAGGTAGTTCAGAGATCCAGCGAGCTCTTGAGAGGTGGTTGGAAATGGGACATTCCTTCAAGTCTTCTCAGTCATGTGTGAAGGCCAGACAGGGCTGGCTTTGCTGGGAGGACAATACTCTTGTCCCTTGATGATGGATTCTGGGTATGGAGAGGGGGTGTTTCAATTAAAGGAAGTAATCTAGTACATGTTCCTAGTCTTAGAGAAAAGGAACATGAATAAAATGGAGAATTGATGCAAAGTTTTAAGAGCATTCCTTATCTCTGTTCTATAAAACAAAAATAAAATTAAAATGTAGGGGAATTCCTACCCCTTATCTACCTCTAAGTTGGTTAATTCAGCTTATTTTTCCAGTTTATAGATTTTTTTAGACATTGCTAATCCAAATCACCCATGTAGTTTTGTGAGCACTGCCATTAAGATTTCTAGGCAGAAACCTGATCTATAGGTAACCACAGATATTTTGTTCTTTTATTCCTTGAAACCTGAACTCTCTGGATTTTGTGGCATAAAATCCAATCCAACTAGCATATATTGAGTGTTTTTCGTATGCACAGTAATTGACCTTATCCTCTGGGAAAATCAGAATTCTGAGATGCTTGGTAGCTTAAATGAAACTAAATGTTGCTTTGCACATCTCAGCATTTTCTCCTGCTGAACATTTCCAGATAATATTGGAAAGGCATCCTGAATTTAAATTTTTCTGTAGCAATTAAAATTACAATTGATAATTTGAGAAGTCCTGGATACCGAGAAACCTCACACCTGTGAGCATTACTGTGGGGCAGAACTTATTATATAGTCATAGGTTAAAATCTAGAATATATGAGCAGAGGCCTCCCCCAGCTTCTGTGCATATGTACCTGTTCTTTATTGCTGAGTTCCTGGAACATGTTCTTGTTAACTGTTTACCATTACCTGCTACTCACTCACACACCAACTCTGTTCAGGTGTTGACCCAGTATCCTGCTTAAAAAAAAAATATTTATTTATTTATGCATACAAGAGCTGGGGTGGAGGTCAGAGGTGTGGGGGTGGAGGTCGTGAGAGGATTCACCGGAGACAGAGTAGGGGGTAGAACAGGTGGACTGACTGATGTACACTGCTAAGGGGAGCAGCGGGAGAGGTCTACTGTGCCATGTGGATCAGCTCCCTGGCTGGGGATCGAACTCATGCTGCAGTAGCTGCAGACAGCTTCATAGTGCTAATGCTTAACCCCTTGTGCCACCAGGGAGGCCCTGACCCTATATTTTTCTTGACGATCATTAGGACTGTCAATTCTTAGCCTCCATCTTGATCTCCATGTGATCAATGCATCACCCTCATCTTGTTTTCTTGCCACTTTTGACTTGATCATTTTTTCCATCTTGAAATACTTTCTTCCATTGCCTTCCTGGATGCTGCAGTCTCCAGGTTTTCCAGCTTCTCCCCACATCCTTCCTCATCAGATACTTTGCTCAACCTTTGATCCTCTTTTTTCCTAATTGGCTCTTATTTTTTTTTTGGTGCTCTCACCCAGTCCTGTGGTTTAAAAAATTGCCAATAGGCTGGTGTTTTCCTAACCTTTATTTCTAACCCTGAGTTCTCCCTGAATTGTCCACTCAATTATTCAGTGATTTGACATCATTTAGAAACCTGCTGAGCATCTCAAACCTTCAAGCTTCCAAACTGAGCACTGATTTC